ACTTTCTTTAGTGGGTAAAGGAATTGAGAGAACATCTTCATTAGAGCCCAACTCGACGTCTTTGGGTCGATATGTCATGGTGTCTGAACAAAAGTCTTCCCGAGGCCGTAATTTTTTTTTGTATTGCTGGAATTTGTTCGGCTCAGCTTTCCCCACGGGGAAGAAAGCAGGGGAACTTCTATTAAATAACGTTCATTGGATGGATTATGTCATAGCTATATTTACAAGATCCTCCGGCATGCAGGAGAGCCACATAAGCACGGAATAGCCTCTGTTTCATCCTCTGAGGCTTGGACTTGCCGGTCAGCTCGTTATAATTCCACGCACACTTGTAGTCGTAAGTCAACTCCTGCCCAGGGAGAACAGTCTGTTTGGCACTGATGTATTAGAAGAAAAATCACGGGAGACTTACAAAATCACGATGCGCTTTTCGCCTTGGACCGTGAGGATTTTGGCCGTACAATTAGGCGTGCAACAATGCTACCTAGTTAGGAAAAGAGGCGACTTTGAACGTACATTCATTAGACGAGCAATATTTCCCTTCCGAGTTGCATCTACTACGACGTCATCGTCGACACGAAATAGATAAGTACTGAAGTTGCCCTGCCATATTAGAAATGCATACACGTACTGATCGTTCATACATCTTCTCACGATGATCGGCAACTTGCTGGCGAACAACTTCTCCAACGTATTCAATAACCATATCACCGGCAGATATGTGCTCCATCGCGAATAATCCCCAGTCGTGTATGGGACTTTTAGCGAAACGCAACTGTTTCTTTCGTGTTTGAAGCTGGTTGACGTGTAAGATATCGGTATCTGCAAGGGTCTCACGCCGATTTTGTTCAATATCAAGTGCGAGGCGACGTGAGTCAGCTCGGTTATTTCTTGCAGAAGCGAGAGAACGAGTGGCACTTGTTGCTTCCACTACTGCCCGATTTCGATCCGCCAAATGCGCAGCTTTCTCTGCAGCGGGAATTCGATAGAAGCCCTGTGCACGCGCACTGCCTGCTTCATGTAGATCGGGAGCATCTGGAGTGGCAATGGGGGGGCATTCTTGTGCATGTTGTCCGCGAAGCACCAAATCTAGTAAATACATTTCTTCATCATCCTGAGCTAGTCCGATTCCAACAGGGTCGAGAAAAGCACGTGAATCCGAGGTGAGGGACAATTTGTCCTGAACAGCCCCCTTTTGATCGACAGGGGCTCGCTTAGGAATTGAGTCGAGGCGACGAAACGAAGGGATCACGCTTCCTAAAGAAGTAGAGCGAGATAGAGAGTGTGATTTGTGACTTGCTATGATAGCTCCTCCCTTGCCATCTGAGCGCAGGAAATGTGCGATAAGAGGCGTCACGGTTCGAGTTTTTATGTCGCGCAAGATTATAGATGTAAAATCAGCGAGAATTCTTGAAGTGGCTTCTGATACGAGTTCGTCTGTTGACCATGTCGTTTTTGTGGATGTAGGTCGTATCTTCTCCGAGGACAAAGGTAAAGCAGGATTTGGGGTCAATGAAGGTTCTGTATTCGATCCTCTGTCTTCTGGTTCGCGAATGTCAAATCGAAGTCGACATCCATGAAGAGTTCCGGAACCCAAGACCATTTTGCATCGAAACGCTGCATCATGATCTTCAAACCCCACGTACCACCCAAGATGATCCCGCTCAACGAGAACAGGCGCGAAAGAAGAAAAATAAGCTCGAATAGATTCTGCATCCGTGGTATTCGAAAACATACGCGGAATGAAAATGTAAGGGTGCCCAAGATTCGACAACCGATGTGCAATAACCGCTGACATGGGCTCATTCTTTGAGTGAGAATGCGGCTCATACGAGTTGGGACGCTTTCGCATACTACTCCTAATTTGACGCTCACGCTCACGAAGCTCCTCGCGTAGACGCTTTTGTTCATGTTCACGTTCTCGTGCGAGTGCCTGATGTTTGCGCGCATAACGTTCCTTCAAAAGCGCTCTGTACTGCTGCACGTACACCTTTCGATCGTGGTCAAGGAAAACTTGGACAAAGGCAGGACCCATTCTCTGGCCGTCAAGCGCGCGCCTCGCATTAGACGCTGCCTCTGAAGCATCATCTAAACGAGGTCCCCCGAAACACACCCACATGATGCCAATACTCTCACCAGTCTGAGGATCAACTTTAAGCTCGCTTGCGTCGATAGCGCCAAAAGCACGGCACTGCTGCAAAACAGGCGCAGGCGTCGTCAGTGGCGACAGATGACAAATGACGATTTCTCGCGGTGGCGGTGGGCCCACTGAATGATCGTCGTACTAAAGTCGCGTTGTTAATAATGGATGCATACGCACCTTGTAATGCAAATGTTCGAGATGTTTCCGTGGCTTAAGCCGGGACGATTTTGGTGGCTTGTTATGGTGTGAGAGCATTCGGGGGTCAGTCGTGGAGCGCCGAGGGTGAGTCTCATACCGCCGCAACATCTCTTTGTTACGGCCCAACTGAGGATCATGTATTGTCTGATAATTTCTACCTGAGCTTGGAATTTCTGAAGGAAGAAGTGCCTTGGACGATGAGGGATCATCAAGACGCGCGTCGTTCATGCGTCGAGGTGGCCTTGGAGGTGGCCCTGGGGGCAGAACGCGCGGCATGCTCTGGTCCATTAGATTTTCCCTGGAATATATAGGTTCACGATTCTCGGATAAACGTAAAGTTGTTGCGTACTCTGGCGGCATTGCGCCATACGCGAGTGAGCAGCGAATACAAATTGATGTTTCTAGGGTTCGGTTATGATTGCAATAAGAATGGCGCGTCGCGTCCGAGGTAATTACTAACGACCAAGCCTATTAGGTAGGTGTGGAGATCACACGCTCTCAGTTGTAGGGTCTAGCGTAAGTTCTGGTATGCTGGAGTCGTCACGAATGGGACGAGCGTCTGGATTGGGCAAAAGTTGAAAGAGAAGAAAGTTAGCAAGTGTTTTGTTTGTCCAGTAGCTCATATGTGAGCGCATCATATCAATGTATTGTGAAAACTAAGGATGGAGGTCAGACCATACTTTGGTGCACGCGCACACATACCGAGCTAGACGTTCCAACGTCCATAATATAATCAATACAACCATTTGGATTAAGTGCGTTGAATCGCTGCTCACCACGCTCCATATCCTCAAGAGGTATTGGTCGGGAGCGGGGAGTACTCGGCACTGTATTCTGATCCTGAGTTCCGGAGGTAGTTGGCACTTGTTTCTCGTTCACAACACGCATAAGAAGTTTGCCCACATTTACACGAGGCTCTTCGAGTGCATCCATTAGCAAGCTGGGATCACGGGGTAAATGAACAGGCCTTACAATGCGTGAGTAAGGTGCATCAGCAAGAGCAGACATCTGGAAACTAATGGGATCTGTCGCGATGTAAAGCTGAAAAGAGTTAGTGACTTCGGGGAGGATAGGCGCAGAACTTACGTTGTACACAGATTCTGACGCAAGACATCCCATCTTTCCGACTTCAGCAGACGTTGCGTCATCCACATCATCATCATAGCGACGCCGAGCTATGAGGCGAGCACCATTCATGTAGTAAAGAAGAGGCAACGGCGAGCCAATACAGAAAAAATGGCGCACATTGAACAGTAAGTGGGGAGATAGCATATGAATGTTTGGAGCATCGGTTTCGTGTAGAGGGCGCACAAACGTGGGTTGATCCTTAAGGATATCAGCGGCAAGCATAGATCCGAGCGAGTGCCCCAGGATAGACACGCGGCCTCCATTCTGTTCGAAGCCAGGATTCCTCTGTACGAACAACCTGTAAAGGCGATTCATTTCGTGCAAAACACTGCGCTCCATGAGATCATGATGCCTGGAAAAGTAAAACGGTATGTCAAGCAAGACTTTTGTCACTACCGTGCGAACGCTTGGTATTGAAGTGGCGTTTACGATGTCTTGTAGGGTATAAGATTCTTGCTCTGGGTCAAATTGCAAGTTACGGCGCCAACAGATAGGAATAAGCTTGACTCTCCCCCCATTCAAGAGCGGCTTGAGTTCAATGTCTTGCGCTTGAGCACGCATGATTGTTCTGAGCCGATCCAAATCGTGTACAAAATGCATGGATGCATAGTCCTCAGACAGTTTCTGTCCGATTCCATGGATACAAAATAAAAGTTGCGGCGGTTGATCGGATGTGCTTGGCATAGAGCAGTCATCATCAAATGGATCCTGTGGACGAGCATCTTCGATTATATCACGAACACGGGGATTAGTACTTGGTGAGCGTGAGACCCACGCTCGCGACATAAATGCTTCGTTGAGAGGTACCCATAACGATGGTGATACAGACGGGTCTGGTGTAGCTCTGTCACCTATAATCCCAGTTGCGTTAGAATCTTCTTCTGATATTGGTCCAAATCTCTCAATGGTGTCTTTGTCTCTCACGTCTTCAGCAGAAGCTGCGGTTGAAGCCGCTGGTGTTCGGCGAGGTGAGGTTGATTCAGGGCGTCTTGTCCAAGTTGAGAGTCGAGTACTAGATCCCAAGCGCTCACTGAGTTCACGGGCATTCTCAAAGCCTCGGACAAGAGTAGGTTCTCTAAGAAATGGGAAAAGCTTGCTGCCAATATTTTGTGCATATACACGAGCTGAATATGCCGAGATAAATTGGATCTTTGCGCCACTAACGACACTGGGTAAGTCATATTGGACCGCCTGATCCTCCCTTCGGCTTTTCGAAAGGGTTCCCTTAAGCCGATGCTCGAGACGCCATGGTTCTGCCGTCCTGTATGCATTTACAATATCCTCTTCTAACCGCGTATTGCATGCAATAGGGGAGCAAGCGCCATCCGACGCGACGTAGAACCACGTTGCCCTAATCACTTGTTGATCGTAGCCGGCCCATAGTGCAGGATACATCTGAGTGTCAGTGCTTATCACTTGCACGGTACGTACAATCATGTGTTCCATGTCTACATCGAACAGTCTGTCTTCCAGTACTGGTACGCGAAATCGTCGTTGCTCTGCGGGTTCATCGGGATCCGTTATCCGGTATGTAGGCTCAGTCTGCTTTTCACTGGGCATGGGTCGTGGTGGCCGCGGTGGCAGCACGGAGTCGGTGTTGTACGCCGATTCGCCCCAAAGTGATGTTGTGAGCCAGCTACGAGGACTGCGCTGTTGATTGTCTGTGTGACGAGCCCGCGCCCTCTGAACCAACTCATCCTTAACGCGGTGCCACGCTTCTTCGAGAGCATTGTTGTCCTCGTCGGGAAAAGGTACCCATATTCTACCATGAGAATGGAACCAAATCGCAGATACAGGTGGTTCAAGGCGTTCAGTAGAGTTCCCATGTGCAGGGCACCCGAACACTGCGTCCATGACTCGGGTACCTAAAGACAAAGAATGACGGTCCGTGCGTGGCTCCATCATACATCCACATTTTGGACATTTATGCCCCAAATATTTCGCTCGCCATGTTTTCTTTTTGTTTTGAGAATTACATAGTCTATTCATGATTAACACATACAGACACATACTAACTTGTAGTTCCACATTCGACAGTGATCCCGAGTGTCCAACGAGGGATCCCCACAATCAGCACGCCTACTAGCACGCATAGCGTCCAAGACGTAAACAAGTAGGCGAAAGAAGTCCGCAGGGGGCGAAGAACGATAAGCTCGGCCACCAACGTGCTCACAGTGCTCAGACAGCCGGCGAATCCATCTCCTAAGCCGCGCAAAGCATCACATGACGTGACGGAAGAGAACAAGCGCGATCCTTGACCCGTTTTCGTACCACAAAGTATCAAAGTTGCCAGCACGTTCGCGGCTAACGTGCCCAAAGGCCACTGCATCCACTGACGCACCAACACTCTGTCGTCAACTTTTCGGGCAGGGTTGAAGCGTGACAGCTGCCAGCGGATCCAGGCTCCGGGAGGACAGAGAACAAGTGCGAATGTGACGTGTCGGAATGGTGAATGCAAGCCACAGAGGATGGCGGATCCAATCCAGGAGAGAGAACCAATTGCAATTGCGCATGCATGCGAAATGGCAGGATTCAATCGTTTCATAGGCAAAGCAGGTAATGCATCTAGTGGATAGGCGTCAGCCAATGCGCGCCCAGCCCACAATCCCGCGATACCCATCCCAATAGTCAAACCTGTCTGCGCTAGGGCGTCCATGACACTGTAGAGCCCGACGCGGTGATAATGCTGACCATTAGAGAATGCTTGGAACACATCAAGTGCCCAAGTGGAAAATGAAGTACAAGACCCGGCAAATCCGACGGTCAGCATTGGAAAGGCGGGGGCGTACCACGCTTCAATGGCCGCTTTTGAACGTTTGTGGGATGCATACCCAAACACCAAGCATCCGACAGCTTGTGCCCAGATCAGGGGGGCTACGCTTTGTCCATCATATGAATTGAGTGCTACCAAACCCAGCCGCGCCAGTGTGCCCCAAATGGCACCTAAGGCAATCAGTGCGGCAGTGGCACAGATAGCTACAACCCCCATGGATGGTGGTGTGGAGCAAGTCAGGTAGTCACGTGTGACCCAATTAACGCGGAACGCGGTGTTGGATCGCGCGACGGGGCATATTTCGTGCCGCGCGTCACGGACGACACGTCAATACATCTGCTTGATCAACGTCGTTTACGTCTTATGTCTATGTATAAGCCGTGATGCGTCGTGCGCACCATGACGAACCGTCGTCATCTTCGTCTCCATCGATGCAAAGTGAAGACGAAGAAGATGTTCGAGCTGATTTCCTCTCGGAGATCGACCAACAGCGTTTCTTTCAGCAACTCGAAGTGTTTCAGGCAAGCTCACGAGTCTCGCCTCCCGCCGCCGTTCCGGAGACGAGCAGAGTTTCTGTTCCCTCAACAGCACCAGCCACAAACACAGGAGTGACGACTGCTACATTTGTGTCTCCTGCTAATTTTCAGTCATCACCGAACCAGTTATCCAACTCTTCATGTTCGAACATGCCGCGGTCCATGGATTCGTCCGAGTTTTACAGTACAGCGATACAGGTCCTTACCCACGTACTTGGCAGTTCTAAGCCACATCCATGGCTCAGTGATCAAACCTTGTCCCACGGTGAAGATCCGGCGTTGTCACACACTTCTACGGTCTCTTGGGATCCAAAAAACTCATTAGCATCATCCCCGCGCGACCATGCGGGTCATGGGATCCATGCGTCGATTGATCAATTCGGCGCTTCAAGGTCAGAACCAATGCGTGATAAAGAACAGGATTTGACACAGCTACTGCAAACTCTTCTCGCTCGGGGACCTAATCAAACTGCGTCTTCTGAGTCACATCCTCAATCAGAGCCAGTTCTTGCTCCGCCCGTTCCCATGCCGTTTGCCGACTTAGCTTTCCCCGAAGATGAAGATGACGATCCAGACTTTATGCCAGTATCCTCTGACCGTGGGGGCAATGAGCTTGCGATGCCGAGCGCGACAGCATGGACACGAGCTATGGAGGAGATGGCTCCCCAGGAATCTGAAACATCTTCAACGAAGTCGCGGCGAGGACGCCCACGGCAATTTACGTCAGAAGAGGCAGCTGAGCGAAAACGCGATCGAAACCGAGATTATATGGCGCGTCTCCGCACTTTGAGACGGCAACGCAGACCTTATACCCCAGCCAACTCGGTGGACTCGCGGGAGTCGTCTGATCGACTTGTGCTGGAGGCGGAAAATCGATTTTTGCGCTCTGAAATCGAAAGACTCCAACAAGAGAATGCCAAGCTACGTAGTCGAGAAGAACTGCGTTTGTACGCCGCGCAATTTAGAATGAACCAGGATCATGATGGTTTCAAATGCTAACGATATAACTACAGATTACAACATACTACGTACAGGATAGAAAATGAAGATGAATTCAGTTACCAGCCTTTCAGTCGGGGCGATGGGGTGGAAAATGAAGGTATGCTTGACATGACTGGACTTAAAGCTCCGCCTTCCGAGTAGGCAGCTCTTTGATGTGCGCGTCCTGAGCGCTGGGCTCTCCTGGACTGCCGATTAGGTGAAATAAACAGGTCTGACGAACGTTCATCGTCGCCGAACTCCGAGGATAGAGCGCGACGCCCCCTAAAGTACGGCATGTCAGTGACGCCAATAGCAGCTTCTCGAAGCTCATCCCATGCATCCTGTGCAGCCAGGCGTTCGTTTTCTTCCTCGGAAAGATGCGGATAAAATCGGCGCATTGCACCATGCCCGGCGTAATGCATATGGCGTTTTTCATCCGAGACATATGACTGTGAGTCACCATCCACCTCGTAAGATGGTTGCGCGGCAAATGGGTCCTGATAGTAGAAAGCGGCTTCATCTAATTCATGCTCATTGCCTTTCTCACAAGTCATGGATTGAATCGACAGAGCATCTTGCTGAAGAGGCACACTTGCGGCGTCGTGCTCGCCCGCTTGTTCCATTGGGGGAACGGATGAGTGCGTATTCACACCGTAAGGTTGCTGTAACGTCACAGGCATGAAATCTGTGTGCTGCTGCTGGAACACTGGAGCGACTTGTGGAGAAGCCGGTGACACTACTCGGGCTTCCTGCATTGGCTCCGGCTCAGACACAATGGAAGGGGGGCGACGCTTAGCACGACTGCGTCGTCGCAAAAAGTAAAAGAGGAGTAACGTACATGCGCCAAGCAAAACGGCTCCACCAATTCCAACCGGTACGCCAATCTTCACACCATTAGACACTGTATCATTCGAGTCGCCGCCAGTAGTGCTGCTGGTTGTGCTAAGATTGCCAGATCCACCCGTGTACATATTAGGTTTGGGTCCATATGGTGACATGCCTGGCTTTCCAGGTGTTCCTAGGGGACCATCTTTGGCCGGGTCTTGGAGCGCACGGATCTGGTCGCGGGAAAGAGAAAATTCAGGCCGATTGGTTTGGTTGTCTCTCCTTCCAGTATAAATGTAAGCAACGGGCTTATTGCCCACACCCGACACGCTGGCGTTGGCTACGTTGGGATCCGCGCAACTTATAGAGAGGTAGCCAAACTCGTGCGCATAGTAGCCTCGCTTCTTATATCCATCATCCTGGATAGAAAGAGTGCCATTGGCCCAATGCTTTTCTTTTGTTGAATCGTCCGCTCCAACACCATACGCCGTTAACAGGACCCGCGATGGAGACACAGGGAATTTGTTGCCAGCCTTTTTACGGTACACCCTTCGAATACTTTGGCCATCCACTCTCCAATCAATCTTGTCCGGTGTCCAGTCAATGGTATAATTGTGCCACTTAGCCACATCGAAGTTATTTATGTACTTCTGAGTCCCGATATCCTGAGCTGGCGTGTTCATGGCTGCATAGTCTGTAGTAATACGCGACGAGTTTGGACCACCTAGGCGGAACAAAATAGCGTCGCCCACATCCGACGCGGTCCCAAACGTTGTGACGAAGCCCGACGACGGATCATGCCGAAGCTTCGCAGACACTTGACCATATAAGAGGTAGCGCGATGAAGAAACACGCGAATTATGTGATGCAGACATCTCTAGTAAGACGCCGTCCTTGCCCCGGCCAAGATAGCCCTGTTCAAATACGAATCTGGACTGTGTTGGATCGCCGTTGAATTGCAGGAGCGGACGGAACGTCTCACTGTGATTGAACATATCAGGCTTCACCTGAAATTCTGTAGGCTCGCATATTGCGTTGGGGATACATGAAGAGGGCGATAAACTGAACAATGGTTGGCAACCCGAGGTGCATTGTTCAGCACCCCCGCCACAAAAGCCGTCGGATGAGCAGCATGGACTACTTCTAGGACATTTCCCTATGCCCGCGCCACACTTTCTTGCAAGCACACCCGCGACCCCGAAGAGCAGGCCTATGAACACTGCTCTCATAGAATCACTGACCACCGCAGACATAAACAAGGTGAGGGAGGTGAGTCAGCACCACAAAATGAAATGTGTGCGTTCTAGTAATTCGACATGGCCTGCTTTCACATCCCCTTCCCATTCAGGCGAGATCTTTCGTACACGAATCGCAACCTCACTGCATCACCCGCGTAATCTCCTTGCACAAGAATGGGAGACTCGTCATAATTTATTACGTAAACTATGCACGCTGGGTGATAGCATGCCCTAGGAACGAAAGTCCCTCACCTCTAATGTAGATGAATTGACGTCAGCACGCCCAGCGCATGTGGCACCGATGGCTTGCGTTGTGCAACCAATCACGACGCGATTCGGCAAAAGGCGTGAACGTAACCACGCCCGTGGGCGTGCGACGTCGAAGTTGACTCCTGCCGATGCAGCAGCTTTGAAGTATGTCGTTGGGCATGACTAGTCCGTGTTTTCTATGTCCATAGAAGTGGTATCATACAGCTTCATCAAGCTGATCCAGTGACGGATACATAGCTCCTGACTTGTCTCCGCGCGATTCATTGCGAGCCGTATTAAGTTGTGGCCTAGGCGCCGGTGCTCGTGTGCGCGGCACAGGTCGTGGGATTCGCGATACAGATGACATTTTGCGACGGCGATGATTCGAAAAAAGCGCCGGTGTTCGGGGCTGTGATGGACCAGTCATCCATGTCCATAATTTCGACACAACACCGGAAGCCGGTGTTACTGTAGAACGCAAACGCTTAGGTGGTGGACCTGCCTCAGTCAAAGCATCGGTATCGTCCGCACCTGCATTGGACTGAGACATCACAGATGATTCTTGTGCTAAAAACTTCGTGGAGGATGGCCGAGCTGAGAGAGGCGTGCTGTGGGCGCCGTGAACATAAGCAGGGCCGAACGAAACGTCATGAGGCCGTTTACGCGATTCACTGAGAAGCTGGAATGACTTTTCTTGCATTTGCTCTGTCATGTCCTGCTCGAGTTCGCGCAGGTAACGAGCTTGTAATGCAGGCACTCGCGCGTATAAACGTGTCAGTTTCCAATCGCCATGGAGATCGTCCGGCTCGAGTCCCTGAGCGTCCAAAAATTGGAGGATGACCTGGTCCACGTCCACACTCAGCACTGCCGACGACAAATTATCGGCGTCCTGCGATATGTGAGCACGCATGTGACGGTCAAGTTCAATCCATGCATGCTCGGACCAGTGACCTGCTTGTGCCTGTGGTCGCAATGCATGCGAGGCGAGCTCCGGTGCAGGATATGTGGCATGTGGTGTCGAAGCTCCTAGTGCACGAGACTTTGGTACGAATGGGACATGCGGTCGGTGTCGAAGGGCACGTTCAGCAGCATGAAGTATTGCTGGAAGGCTCATGGTTTCGTTCTCCGATGTCGACGCGATTGTACTTTCTGATTCGCCCAACCATCCCTCTTGAACGTACTTATGATGAACTTTAAGAATGGCTGCAGCTCTTGCGGCGGCTACCGGGTCTAGACTTGATATTTCCACACATGACGTTGGGCAAGGGCGTGAAAGCATCATTGCTCGAGAATGGGACGATGCAGAGAGACTTGCACTGAGATCACTGAGAGACAAGTCTTGATCAGTTGAGGGCGCAGGTGCTTGCAATGGTAAAGACCAAACAGTCAAATTGTCATGCTCATGGTCATGATCATGGATACAAGTGCGGGAAGCACCCGTTTCCACGGTTTGCTGGGTATCATCTTCGACGCTAGAAACTGGAACAAGTGCTACTCTTTCTGGCAGCGCAGAAGAGACACGTGTTGCGGCATTGGAAGGCTTGGAAGCCATAGGACTTAGCAACCCTGTTGAAATTTTTTCCGGCGAGAGTGAACGACGTGCACGAGCTCCATCTAGGGAAATTTCATTCGATATAGGCGAATGTGTTTGATCAATTACGTCACGGGTATGCTCTGAAGGCGTAATCTCTCGTGAACGTTCTGGACTAACCGTATCGATGGCTTCGACATTCACCGAAGGCGAAGTTTCGGTTGTTATATGACCTGAGGGACTTGAATCTCGATTTGATCCTTCAGCCATCTTGCCAGTATCGATCCGTAATTCATTTTCCCAGGCATCCATAGCATCAAGGGTTTCTTCCAAGGCGTAATCCTGGATGTCGTCATCATCGAAATCAGCATCTGATTCATACAGCTGTTTTTCTGGATGTTCGGACATCGCTTCTTTCTTCACTGGACCAACATAGAGTGGGGTTTCAGCCGACGTGTTTTCATTCTTAACGGTGACGGTCTCGTACAGAGCAGGCTCCTTCGATGGTGAGATCTTTAAATTCGTTTGGCCGTTAGACATGTGCGATAAACTGGGGTTCAGGGGACCTTGAAGGGAAAGAGAGCGATGCATCAAGGAGCCATGTCCTCGCATTGAGCGATCCGGCTCAGACGAAGTGTCAGATCGGTCGTAGGACTCCCGGGGAGCTTCAAGTCTTTCATCAAAGGGATGTTGTGGTTCAAGTATAGGCATAGATGCTGACTGAAGTTGAACTTCAGGATGAGACTCATGCTCGTGCTCGAGTTCCGTTCCGAGATCAATGTCCCTGATAACGGTGTCTGGTACGAATGCCCGGGGTTTGTCGAAATTCTGTTTCAGTCTGGCACCCTCATCCGAACCATTCCCATAAGAAGACGATAAATCCCTTTCTGGCTCGGGCTGTGGAAGTGGCTCAGACTCAACTTCTTCGCCATGGCCTGACTCGCGTTCGGGCGCCACCCCAAGACCTGACGATGCACCCATAGCACTTCGAGAGTCTGTTTCTTCTCCATAGTGCGAACTGTTTCGTCTGAAGTATGCGGTCTCAATGGGCGAGTTAGATTTGTCTCTTGACGCCATAGTCAATGGTGAATTGGCCTTGTTCGTGCGGAGCTGTTTTCTAGCAGATGCTGCCACGGATGGAGAATTGCGATACTCTGCCATGGGCGCAAATTTTTCTCGCGCATCAACCGAAGAAAATGAAGTCGGAGTATGGCCTCGAGAAAACGTGGAAGGATTAACAAACGCATCCAAATGACCAGTACCTTGGCTAGGACGTCGACTTGACGAGGGTCTTGTTGGCTCACGGGTGAAAGGTAGATCCACCTGAACATTTTCATCCAGCTCTGACCGGAAAAAGTCGATGAATACAGGCTCTTTCAAAGGTCGAGTTTGTCGTGATGAGCGTGAATTTGAAGCAAGCGGGGAAGAGGTCTGCGGCTGCGTAAGCTCCCGTATGATCGCTGCTTTTGATGTAGAAGGCGGGCCAAAGTGATTTTCAGGTGGTGATTTTGAACGAAAGGCCTTTTGAGACTCAGTCTCATACTCAGAAATTGACTCAGCTTGAGTATCGGGTTGAAAGTCTGACTCTGCTTCCGGCTCTTGGTTCGATTTCGACCTCGTTTCATGCTCAGTATCAGACAATAATTCATTTACGTCGCCTTCACCCAAGGCCAGTTCATCATTTGGTTGACTGATTGTCTTCTCTGGTGAACGAATCAAAGCAATCCGCTCCTTTATCCCGATCGAACGGTCATACAAACTAGGAGTAGCTTTCGGTGTTTTGGCAGGTGTGTGTGAAGCTGATGTTGCTTCTGGGCCGTCGACAATTCACGCCTTGCTGATAAGGAACGTTTCGGTGTCGTTGTAACGCCCATGTCTTCCTGTTCAAATCTTCGAACCATAGCAAGCAAGCTAGCGTCGCCTTGAGCAGCTCTCATGGACATGTTCGACATAGTTGGGTCATGAAGAAGTAATGGATCGTCCGTCGAACTTGCGGGAGACGCGGGGCGCTGAGCCAAATGCAACACATCAGAGGATGAAGGAGCGGGCTCCGGATTGAAGGTAGGTGCAGGAGCGTGCTTTGCGTCTGACTGTTGATCAATACGAGGCAAGCGCCGGCGCGGTGCAAAAGGATCCCGTGAAGAAGCAGTTACTTCGACGAAATCGCGAGCAAAAGAGTTTGTGGGAACGTCATCTTCGAGAATTGACATCGCCGGCATGGCTCGTGCAGATTGCGACGGTGTGGCAGATTTGCTTCTTCGACTTGACGACCAGTTTGGAGCTGGATAATCAGAATACGGTCTAAGCGAACGTCTTGGTGTGATGGGCGCAAGTGTGGACTTCACATCCTGGGAGAAGGCAGCAGGACGCGGTTGAAGCGGCGTGGACGACATGGCGCCATGATTCGAGTGCGGTCGATTCATGGACGACGCTTCTAATATACTCTGAAGCTCATGAACACGCATGTCCCCGCTTGCAGCTTCGGGCTTCGCAAGAGATGAATCTCCATCATTCCGACTGTGCCCCACACGCGACTTGCGCGGAAGCGCATATACCATCGTCGACACGACGAGCGCGTAGCGTGTATGTCTTGTGTGGAGACCCGTGACACCTGTGAATAACAGCCACGAGGGTTAGAACGCTCGTGGCCTCCACGATCATGTTATGTGAGGCTTAGTCGTCATCAATATGGCAGTAGTGCGGCAATTGAGACTAAGAACTGTTATACACGTGATCGACTTCACGTGCGAGGACCACAAATATGAGCGATGTTTCAACACCTCTCTTCTTCCGCACCGTCACCAAAGTCAGTATGACGAAGAAGAGAAGAAATGGAGGGTACGTTGATATCTACCGATTTGTGTGAAGAATCGAAGCTCACAGCTTGCAGACGTAACAAGCACGGACGTGGACACGTCGCGTTCGTGCGCTGCACGAACTGCGCGCGTGCTGTTCCTAAGGACAAGGCCATCAAGCGATTCACCGTCCGAAACATTGTTGAAGCGGCTGCGGTGCGTGACTTGAGCGAGGCAAGTGTATATGATGGTACGTAATGGTGGATTTGTCGCAGCGGCTGCTAATGGAGACAGAGTATGTGCTTCCCAAGCTTTATATCAAGCTCGCGTACTGTGTGTCGTGCGCGATCCATTCCAAGGTTGTGCGTGTTCGCTCGGTTGAGGGTCGCCGCAACCGTGCCCCACCGCGTTTGCGCTTCAACCGCGAGAACCGCAAGAACCCAGCTGCACAGCTGGCTGCTGGCGGTGCGCGTTCATAAAGTGCCTGCTGTCCAAAAAGATAGTGGCTAGTGCACATAGAACTAGTCTAGCCACGAAATGACCTCGACGGAGCCTACGAAAAATGTTTCTCATGATTGTTGAAGGATGTAGGTGTTGGCGTCGGCGAGTGAGGTGTGTCTAGTTCTGTACAGGGTATGGTTGTGTGTGAAACAAGATGAGTTGGTTGAATATATGCAACCCCTGTGTTGTTTCTATTACTACCAATGAGACTGTAAATGCACAAGACAGCGAAGTAAGTCGTCTGCAATGACGCCGCCCGTACGTGTGCTAAGGTCACGCACAAGACTTGTGAGCTTTGGTCGAGACATGCTCTCCGCCGTGTGTAATAAGGTGCCATCCAAGATACCTTTCGCTAATGGGCGCGATATGTGCTGGTTGAATACAGCCCGGAATCCACGCGGATTCAAACCTGCCGTGTGTCGTACCATACGCACAAGCTGGCTTTGAAATAGCTGAAGAGTAGGGAAGATTTTTTCCGTAACCGGCACAAGTACATCAACGGCGCCATTGCGCTTGGCCAACACGATTTCTGACGTAAGGCATTCCCCTGACGTTGCAAGGTAAGGTCCGTGCAACATGCGGGCGCGGACGACTTCGCCTGGTGCGTGATATTCACACCGGGCGAGTAAACGTTGACCACCCAAACTAGTAGGATTTGATGGGTGATAGTCCATCAAGCGTAAACAGCCATTCATGTCACACGTAACGATAGAGAGTCTTGCACGATCAATCAAGAAGGCGCCGCACGTCACGGACGTAGGAATATAGTCTCGACCGAGCAAGACAAGGCGTGCTGGGTCTTCTTGGAATGCGACGAAATACGCACTCTGGTAGTAATCTGTGAGAAGTAAGAAATTTTTGACACGCTGAATGCTCGTTGTGTACATGCCCATATCGAGAAATGCCACAGTAACGAGCCATTCACAGTATTCCCAAGAGCGGATTAGCAATTTTTGACCTACAGCTGCGACGAGAAAGCCGTTTAAATCATGAAGTGCTGTTACAGGCGCTCGCATTTCCTCTGTGCACAAGAGCTGAAGGCGCAAAGCATCTGAAGCTGCCATGCCTTCTGACGGCACACACTCGACCACATCGAACACGTACATGTGCCCTTTTGAGGAACGGTCTTCTCCATATGTGACTGTTGTCCCCACAACCACAAAAGTGCGACGGCCGGAGCCACGATCAAGACAATCCATGGGCGCCATATGCAACGCAGACACTGTTTCACATGCACTAAATTCGTAGCCATGTACTGGGGGCTCTCCCACCCTTACGAGCAGCTCCAAAGCGCCGCATGCTGCGTAGGTGCGCGTTGGATCTTGCTTTGGGTCACGAACAGGTTGCTCTTCGTCATTGTATAGAACGAATTGCGTTGGCTGCTCGGAGGAAGCGACAAAGCAAGCTAGCTCTTCATGCACCGCCACGTGGGTGTATGTTCGCCCGGTGGTCCAACGTAGGTATGGAACGGAGGCGTCAAACGCCAATTCGTTCCATGCCAGTAAACACGCATTCCCATCTAGGACTCCTGTACTCGTCCACATCATGGTGTGTGAGCCAAACGATGTCACAGGTAAATCTGTCTCAAGAAATAGAACAGGTGATTTGCGGTCCCGGACCAGAATCAGGGAGTGGGAACCAGCCACTGCTATGCAATGGTGGCAGCTGCCCATGTTTTCGAGTGGTACAATTGAATCACACGGCGAACTAAGCATATACGCATCCACTCGCGCAAATACCAGAGGGAGAGAAGAGGAAGAAGACACGCCTGTGATCCGCGCCTCATACACGACCAGTTGACCTTGGGTATATTGCACAACAAGCACAGGGACATCTCCTAACACGCAGAGCTTAAGTCTGGCAACAGCCAAACGCACATCAGTGCCATGCACTTGCGTGTCAAATGGATCAAGGCATGATGGCAGCATACTGAGGGATTCGCTCTGCCAGCGACACTTGCCGTCGGGCAATGAGTGCAATGCGAGCTGCCCATGATCTGTATAGCAAACGAGCCAGTCGCGAATACCCTCGCCCAATACACAGACAGCATCATCCTTTTGACTCCATATGTCTGCGTGCGTGCAAGGGACCTTGAATAAAGATGTCCATATTCCAGTGTAGCGCCATACGGTAACGAGGCCACATTCGGACCATAATGCGACGTACGAGTCTTGGATACTAGCATCTCCGTAGGAAGCATTGGCGTCACACTCGGCAAACGTTGTCATAATCCGACCATGCTCATCCAGTACTTCTGCGCGCTTGGACGTCACGCGAATAACTCCTGCTTGTGTAGAGCCGCAAGCGATCGTCCGCTGTAAATGCTGTGACAAAAAGTGCGTTGAATTAGACTCAAGCGAATATACCAAACACTCTTCATCCCAAGCTGTAAGCAATAGCCATTTACCATTTATAGAGACAGTCCAAATAGCGTGTGCTGGTGCAATGTTCTGCACAACATCACACCGGAGTCGCGGCTCGATGACCGCGAGATGATGCTGCATTGTAGCCACCATATGAGGGTGTGCTTTTCCATGTGCGTTGCGAACGACTCCGTATGTCATATCATTCAATGGGCCTAAAGTGGGCAGGACATCCAATACATCCAAGCCAGCTGGCTGTGCTTGTTTCGAAGTCGCGACATCTGGCTTGAAAGAGTCCCCATAGAGGTCCAATGCATCAGCATCAACGTCAGCATCAGGTTCTAAGGATTGTTGATCAGGACCTGTCGATGCCGCTATTTCCGTTGGTGCCTCGAGAAGATTCATCGCATATAAATACGTGTCGTCCTGGAACGATGCACAGAGAATCAACCGCTCAGGAAGAGCTTGGACGAACGAAGCGCCGCCTTGTCGTTCTGGGACTAACACAACATTCAATGAAAGGGATGTAACAGTGCGGCCTTCTAAAGCACATTGAAACGTCAGCATGCGCCCGTCACGAAGAACCAACAGCCCACCATTTGCTTCGGTAAATGTCAAAACAGATGACTGCAAGTCACAATCGCCGAGCGTTGCCGTCGCATTGGGAAGCATCAGTTCTGAAGACGTGAAATCAGTCCACCTGCTCACACTTAATCCAACAAGACGTGCTGTCTGATCCAGGTGCAGGAGCGCTGAGGGTGTTACAACCAGCACGCCGCCTAGCGAGTCCGGACATGCCACAAGATACAATGTATCGTATGGGAGTGCCTCGCTTGTCACAGTAACAGGGTATTTCGTGACAGTGAGATCGAGTGTGATAAAACAAACGCGCGTTGTTAGTCTTGCGCGTGAAAGACTTCCAGTCCATGTGAGCTCAGGCTCATACAATACGGCCAGCATGGGCTTTTGAAAACCAGGCAGAAACACACAATCACGCACATTACGAATAGAAGCATCAACATCTTCTGAAAATGAAAGGATAAATGACGGTGCGTACGGGGCCTGATCGAGGAGCGCGGCATCCCTAGGGTCATCTGCACCCAGCTCGGACGCCTCTTGCACAAAGGGCAGGATTGCTAAAGCATCCTGAGGAAGGAGCAGCGCTGCACAACGACTAGCTGGATCAACCAATAAACGCGGCACAAAGGAAGGTGGGAGTCCGTCAACAAGTTGTGGCGCTCGCTCAAAGGTGTGGATTGAAATAGAGTTGAGATCACCATAAACATCGTCCCATTCCATGAGTGCTAGTTTGGCATCCCGGAACGAAACTAGTAAACGATCACGACCATCAACTTGTGAAGCAAGTGTTTGGACTGACTGTATGCCAGTTACTTGCCCAAAGAGGCGGTGTGAGCGAACTTGCACTAAAGTAGGCACGCCTTTGTCACATCGAATTTCCAAGATGCGGAGCATGTCATCTCGCGCAAGCACGGCATGACAAAGAAGCCGCCCACGATTGGGCGGCCATGAAGGCAATGTACCAATTCCATCAGCCTTCGTCAGTTGAAGTGCTACACCATGCTCAACGCCGCTCGCAGGCACCCTCTGATGGTGCACTGCATAGGCCATCGTGATGGTGGGCACGATCTAGTGTGAATTTAGTCATCAATCTACAAGTCAATAAATAAAAAAATCATGCGTCATCGACCTACTCGAAACGCGCAATGATGCAACATAAATGAGCTATCCTACGTAAACGCCGCACCCCACACTTTCTTACCTGTGCCACCGCGCGACTTACGTTTCCGGAAAAGCGTCGCCTCTTCCGATGGGATCTCGTTTGTTGTAGTGGTTGAATATGGTTCCATTGGGGTATCTTTATCCGATGATGATGCATGCAGCGATGGGGCGGCGGTCTGCTTAGCAGTCAATGTGAGCTTGGCTTCAGTGTCCGCGTCGTAAACAGCATGGTGACGAGGCCGTTTCACTATCACTGGCACATCCTCATAACCTTCACTTACAGGACGCTTTTCCTCGCCTGTGTCCTCCATAGTGCGTTCTCTAATATTGAACGCCCGAGCTTTGTCTCCATCAGAAGTCACTTTTATTGAATCCATACGATTTGCCGAATTTTGCCCAAAAGAGGTCGCTGTTGATGGTACCTGCGTTGAATTTTCCGTTGAATTTGTTACATCCTTCCATTCTCCAGGCTCTGCAACCATCGACGTTCTTGCTCTTCGATCATTCCATTGCGTCTCCAGTTCATGAGAAATGCCAAGAGAATCGGCTGTTGTGTATGCTGAGAACTTGTCAAGTGGTTTCCAGGGCTTCAAAATTGAGGAGTTCGGCACAGAGGCAGCTTTGCTTTGCTCTACTGGCACCTGCTGATTCTGGTGCTCTCCTATGTCGTATCTTTGAAAGTCCCGTTTCGCTGCTGACTCGATTCGCTGGATCTCCGACTGGGTTTGCAAGTCCTTGCGACGCTTTTCGTCTTTCACTTTGTGTAAGTGATCAAGCGCCTGTGCCACATTTTTCTTGTGACGACTCCCACTTTCATGATGCCTACGCGACGGAACGTCATCGTTAATAGTGACGTTGCAGTATTTACATGTCCAACGCTTTCTGGACACCCAAACATCCGTCATGTCGAACAACTCTTCTGGTGCGGCCCCATATCTGATTTACCTGAACCAGTCGATTAGGCCTGACTATCATGCACGTGATGAGAAGATAATGGACGAGTCAAACTCGTGTACATTAATCAAGACCGATAGACCTAGCTAGAAACTACAAAATAACATGTACAAGACGATAATAAATGACCGAAAATAACTAGTGTCCTGAAGCTGCATCTTTGTGAGACATAAACTTAACGTCCTGCGACTGAGGCGACATAGGGCCATCTGCCCCTTGAGTTGACAACGGATCATGTCTTGATGGTGAAGGACGAAGCGGCCCGCCATCTTGATTTAGGCTGGGTTGACCAAAAAACATTGGTACACCACTACCCAACAATGAATCATTCTCCAGAACACGATTCATCGGCATCATGGGAATTATAGAAGATGGGTGGTAAAAGTTTGGCGAAAGCTCAGCGGCTGGATTCACAGATGCTGAGGAAGACATCGCGGCAGATCTTGACAGGTTCGGTTGAGTTCTTCGCCGCTTGATGGATGATGCAGGCAAACCTGCATCTGAACGCTTATTTGTCTGGAGACCCATATTGGAAGGTGCCCAGCCCGGATGAAAAAGTGGATTTCCAGCGCCTAAAGCGTTTGGATTGGACCCTATAGGCATGGTACCGATAGCCTGAGCAGTGAAGCCAGCGTCAGGTTGCCCAATGTCCACGCCATCTTCCTCTTCCTCATCATCATCATCTTGTTCATCAACTATATCAGCGGAGGCAAAGTCGGAATCTCTTTGGAATGGTGTTGATGATGGGCCAGCTTCGGCTTGGTTCGTGGCAAGATCAGCGGGGTCCGGTGCATTGAGACATTCTTGGATGAGATTTCGACCTTCCGGCTGTTTGACGACTGCCTCAAGCTTGGGCGTTGTAAATGTGTAGACAAGTCCCGTCTGTGACACCACAAGAAGCAATACTTGTGTACCTGTGAGTGTTGCCAGTTCATACGCCTGGGTGTTGGTCAGTTACTAAAACTCTCTAGTCGCACATACCTTCTTCATGATACCAGCTTTCCGCTTGCTGAACGTGATATGACGTCGTGAATCATCATCAATGAACTCAATTTTGATCTTTCGACGACCAGTCTTACTGTCTTTTTCGCCTTTGGCAGGCGAGCGCTTCTTTGAATTCGCACGTGCACTTGCTTCCTGCTGATCCGGTGCTGACGTCGATGTTGAGGCAGGAACCTGTACTGATGAGGTCGCATGTGGGGTAGATTCATGGGTATCTAAGTGCACATTGGAAGATATCTTTCCCGTATCGGACGGCGCTGAAGATGAGGGTTCTTGTTTTATAGGCCGCTGTCGATCCAACATTGACCTTTGTGAGGTCGATGGTGGCGCTTCGTGTACCGCTATATTGGACGTTGGGTCAGAGTAGCCGCTGTATTCTCTTGAAAGTGTGTGCTGAACATTTTGTCCATGGCCCGGCACATCACTGTTATGGTTTGCGACATCGGAGTGTTCCTCTTGTAGATTGCTCATCTGAAAAGGCCAAGACGAATGAGAGTTCATGGTGTCAAATGGCTGTCCTAACGGCAAAGAACTTGATTGCATATTGTACATGGTGGGGTAGGACGTGTCATGGTCTTGGGATACCTGAGCTCCAAGGAGGTTCGTCACGTCCACCGGTGAAGTATTGTATGACCCCAGACGCGTTTGATTTGACATTATCGCACCTGCGTGTGTTGAGGAAATCTGTTTCCTAAACGGGGAGTTGCTCAAAACGGTTATAGTAAGAGGGGGTTCTACCTGTTTATATTATCATCTGCTGCGCCCAACAGGAATTATGCGTGCCAAAGCTTCCCCATGCCTAGCAACGGCCGAACGTGCCGCGCGTCCATGCTCACCTCCATGGCGACGCAAGCTAACAAATAATTCGGCCTCTTTCAATCAAACATGTCACGTGGTAGGAATCAACAAAGAATGCCAGGAGTTCACACCGAATCGCTGATACTATGAAAAAAACATCTAATACTCTTCAGCATCGAGACCCTCTTCGTCTCCCATAGCCGTCTCCATACCAACTTCTTCATAGTCCTTTTCAAGCGCAGCGAGGTCTTCACGGGCCTCGCTGAATTCACCCTCTTCCATACCCTCACCAACATACCAGTGCACAAATGCACGCTTTGAATAAAGGAGGTCGAATTTGCGGTCAAGACGGCTCCATGCAGTGGAAATAGCAGTCGTATTCGCCAACATGCACAATGAGCGCGACACCTTCGCCAGATCCCCACCGGGCACAAGGGCAGGGGGTTCATTACAGATACCGATTTTGAATCCGGTCGGACACCAGTCGACAAACTGGATAGTGCGCTTTGTCTTGATTAGGCTAACAGCGGAATTTACATCTTTGGGCACCACATCACCACGATAGAGCAAGCAACAAGCCATGAACTTTCCATCGCGTGGATCACACTTAACCATTTGGTTGCCTTTCTCGAATGTGGATGTCGTCATCTCAGCCACACTGTTTTGTTCATGGAACGCCTTGTCAGCCGAGATAATTGGAGCATATGTAGCGAGAGGGAAATGAATACGCGGATACGGCACCAGGTTCGTTTGGAACTCGTTCAGATCCACGTTCAATGATCCATCAAACCGCAACGATGCCGTAATGGACGAGACAACTTGCGCAATAAGTCGGTTTAAGTTCGTGTAGCTTGGTGCGCTAATTCCAAGATTGCGCTTGCAGATGTCATAAATAGCTTCGTTATCCACCATGAACGAGCAATCAGAGTTTTCAAGCGTGGTATGTGTAGTGAGCACGGAATTGTAGGGTTCAACCACTGAACTACTCATCATAGGAGCAGGGTACACGGAAAACTCAAGCTTGGCCTTTTTACCATAATCTTGGGCAAGGCGCTCCAGTAACAACGAGCCGAATCCAGATCCCGTGCCACCACCGAACGAATGGAACACAAAGAAACCTTGAAGCCCAGAGCATGCATCCGCAAGTTTACGGACACGATCCATCGTTTGATCAATCAGCTCCTTACCAACCGTATAGTGGCCACGCGCATAGTTGTTTGCAGCGTCTTCCTTGCCCGTCACTAGTGTCTCTGGGTGAAACAGTGACTTGAAAGGGCCGTTACGCACATCGTCCACCACATTAGGTTCAAGATCCACATAGATCGAGCGAGGAACATACTTTCCACGGCCTGTCTCACTAAAAAATGTTGAGAAGCCATCTTCATTCTTAGGCTTGCTTTCCTCTGTGACACGTCCATCTGGCGTCAACCCGTGCTCTTGCAAGTACAGTTCCCAACAGGCATTACCGATTTGAACACCTGCTTGACCGACATGAAGCGAAAGAACCTCTCTCATTATCAAGTACTTGTGTGTATGAAATACCTTCGGCTCAAAAGTGACGTAGAGCTAAGGGACAATCAGTCACACAGAGGTAGTGTGAAGCGAATAGGTGGCGCGCTACTAAGCGGGATTGTACACACGCACTCGCCGAGACATTTGGACTTTTGCAAAAATATCCTTCCTATCCATCACGGCCATGCGCGTCATATCACGTGAGTATGCTTCTGTCACATCGCCTGGTTCATGTGGATAGGTCGGTAACTGGTTCCAGTGTCTGTACCTGAATCTGGCTGTTTCGACGCGAAAGCGACATGGTCTATATATGTCTCTCTTCACCCTCTCCCCCTCTCCTAAAATTGTTCAACGTGCATCTAACGAAATCGCCTGTACGTTGTGCTGGAAAGCCACGAAGGCGTAATAAACCATATCTTTGAATACGTAAATCTTTTATTGCATACGTTAGTAGTTGTTCAGCAGGTGAAGTAAATAACTGGTCTAGAGTGTAGCAACCGTGGCTGCTTCTTACTATAGCAGTGGCGACTGTCGAACTGACCACGCTGCAGTACAGCAGTGGCGAAACACCTCGACAAGGCAGGAAGCTATGAGGTTTTTGACGATGACTAATCGCCTTATGAGCGAAGGCCAAGCAGACATAACTGCTATCAATATACCCACCCTAGATCCATACACGGAGGAGCAGCATTGCTTGTCACGCGCCGTTAGCACATCGAATAGCGTTCTGCACAAGCCACATCTTGATCGCATATATATATATATATTGATCACAGGTGGGCCAGAGTGAGATGAATTGCCCGCGCCACCCGCACGTTCCTCCCAGAAGCGAGAGCGGGAAACATAAGCTTTCTCATGACGGTGACGGAAAAGGTCTGTACACAGACTTACCTAGTACGCGCAAAAATGCACGATGTATGACATTTGAAGAATTCCGTGCGCAAGAGCCACCGCAAGCGCGTCTTCTTAGGTTGCGCGGTCTTTTTGATCTGCTTGTAGACCAAGACAGCTCGTCCGCTCTTGCTGGAGGCCGCGCCAAACAAATGTGGCGTGCACGCGCAAGTAGAGCTCGGTATGGTGCGGGCGGTGCACTAGCTGCAGGAAGTTTAGTTGATGAAGACAATCATGCATCTTCACATGGTTCAGCGAGATCCATCATCAGTGAATGGCTGTCACATGTTCGTCGGACGGCTTATGCCTCTGAACTTTTAGCAGAATGTCGGGCGCGGCATGCTGAGCTTGAAAAAAGACAATCTGAAAATAGGCATCGGCATGATGATCCAGACTCACACAGCCACGCTTGGCGTCGACTTGTTGGAATGGTAAGAGAGGAAGCTGATCCAGTGTTGCCCGATCTCTCTTTATTCTGGAAACGCTTTATGGGAGATTCGGAAAAGTCACCACTCATGTTTCTCGAGTCCGGATGGACGGGTTCCCGCGTTTGGGGCCTTAAAGCGACTGAGGACTCAGCTGATCATGCCAAATCGCGAAATCCCGCAGAGGATGATTGTAAAGACAGGGAGCGTGTGCGACAGAGGCAAATTGAATGGGAGGGCTTTGTCGCATATGCCGAGCTTCAGGAGCGTGAGCTTCATAAGTTGTTCTTTGAGCTGGACTCAAATCATGATGGCATGTTGGACAGGTATGAGATCCAAACAGCGCTAGAGCGGGCCGGAATTCGGGCGACCCCTGCAATTCTAGAAGACTTTATTGCCAGTTTGGCTTCGTCGGGCGTGCAAGATGTGAAAGAATTGCACGGCCGCGACTTGTATGTGACATTTCCAGAATTTCGTGATTATCTTTTGCTCTTGCCTCGCCGACCAACAACGTCTGAAATTTTTCATTTCTATCAGGTCCGAAAAGTTGTTGGATTGTTTGGCTCGGGAGGCATTTTCGCCGAGCTAGGAGCCAACTTTGGAAAGACAGCACGGGGAGTTACATCCGTCAACTTCGATGGAGATGTTAGTCTCATGGGCGAATTATCTACGCCCCCAGAAACAAAAACAAGCGCAACAGGACCATCCTCTACCTCCTCTTCGACTTGTACGTCCAAGAAGGGCGAATCGTCTGATTCTCCTCCGGGCAGTCAGTCCCAACGATTTTCTAAAGACATGATTCAGCTTGACGTGGCATTCAAGTTTCTTCTCGCTGGTGGATTCGCAGGTGCCGTAAGCCGTACAGCTACGGCACCATTTGATCGGTTAAAGATATACCTAATTACATCACAATCTGCCAAGACTAGTAGCTCATCTAGCGGTGCAGCGCGATCGAATTTGGGTGCGCTCTCGCAGAGTTTGTCTATGATATATCGCGAGGGTGGATTGCGGGGCTTTTGGCTAGGCAATGGACTAAATTGTATGAAAATCATTCCCGAATCCGCTATTAAATTCTTCACATATGAATGTATGAAACGCTTGTTTGCAAAGTATGTGGACGGTGTCACAGATTCCCGCGATGTGAGCGGCATGAGCCGTTTCATTAGCGGTGGGATTGGGGGCATTACGTCGCAATTATCGATCTACCCCATTGAAACGCTCAAGACGCGTCTCATGTCTAGCATGTCGAATCCTGGTCACATTCGGGGCATGAAACTACTTTTCGCTACAGCCCGCCAAATGTCGGTGAATGGCGGCTTCCGCGCATACTACCGTGGCTTGGGCGCTGGTTTAGTTGGTGTCTTTCCTTACTCAGCTATTGATATGTCGACGTTCGAGGGCATCAAACTATTTTATTTGCGGTACACAGGTAAAGACGAACCCGGCGTCCTATCTCTTCTGGCATTCGGCAGCATATCTGGAAGCATCGGCGCTGCGACTGTATATCCCCTCAACTTAGTCCGTACGCGCCTCCAAGCTTCTGGGACTCCTGCACATCCAACTGTGTAAGTTGAGAGAATTTAAGCACATCTGGGACTAACTGGTTTTTTTTTTCTTAGTTATAAGAGTTTCTTTGATGCTACTTATCAGACATTCAAGAACGAGGGTTTAATCGGTTTCTATCGAGGCCTTGGACCCACACTCGCAAAGGTGGTCCCTGCCGTGTCGATTAGTTATGTTGTTTACGACCATGTGAGTGTTGGCAATTTGTCACGATGGGCTGAACTAACTCACCAACTACAGTCTAAGAAAGCATTGGGTGTGGCTTAATAATAGACCGCTAGTTTTGTGGACTTGTTATACTGAGCTAGATGCAAGATTTCATGCACACGCACAAAAATATTTACACACCGACCATGGGATCATCAAGCCGTGGTTCGCAATCCTTACTAAAGTTCATATGTAGCCAATAACAAAAATGCTTTAGCCGAGATCCCGGCTACCGGCAGGCCACAATTCGAATTATCCAATCCTCATGAAGACGGTTTTTCGTCCGAAAAATGCGGAACCGACCGGCTAATATACCGGGCCAACCATATATTGGAGCCCCACACCGATACATTCAGGTTTCACTTACCCGTTCATCATGAATTTCGAGATGAAGACACTGGCTGAGGAGAGAGCCAACCCTCCCTTTGACGTAGAAGCCATGGCCGTCGCCAACCATGGGTCTAAAGAGCGTTTAGATTATAAGCGCAAAGTGATGAGCGAAATTGAACGCCTTCCTGCTTTTTTTAATGACGACTTTTACGACTTGACTAAGGACCAACTAAGAGAGCGTACATTCATCAAGATCGGTCACATTGTTGACTGGCTTCAGAACGAGGACATGGATACATTCCGTCAACGTCTGGAAGTATTATCGGTGGCTGATCCAGGCTTCTGGACTCGGTTTGGTGTGCACCTTGGGCTTTTCACAAATTGTCTGCGGTCGGGTTGCACATCGAGTCAGTTTGCTTACTGGGTTCGCAAGGGAATGCTGAATTGCCATAAATTTTATGGATGCTTTGCAATGACTGAATTGACACATGGCAGTAATGTTCAGGGTATTCAAACCACAGCGACTTTTGACCCCAACACGGATGAGTTCATAATCAACACGCCCGACTTGAATGCAACGAAGTGGTGGATCGGTGGCGCCGCTCACTCTGCTACGCATAGTGCTGTTTACGCTCGTCTGATTATCAGTGGCAAGGACTATGGAGTCAAGACATTTGTTGTTCAACTTCGTGACCCATTGTCATTTAGCAACATGCCAGGCGTGACTATTGGTGATATTGGCAAAAAGATGGGTCGGGATGGTATTGACAATGGCTACATTCAGTTCTCGAATGTCCGTGTACCGCGCGCGCACATGCTCATGCGACACTGCCAAGTTACACGTGATGGACAAGTCTCTGAGCCTCCGCTCCAGCAGCTAGCCTACGGTGCGCTGCTTACAGGGCGCGTAATGATGGCTATCGATTCTTCGAACATTGGAAAGAAGGCCATCACAATCGCTGGTCGATATGCGGCCGTGCGTCGCCAGTTCAAGTCAGACGCGAAAAGCGAGGTCGAGACGAAGCTTATTGACTACCCTATTCATCAACGTCGCTTGATGCCCCTTTTAGCTCAGAGTATTGCTTTCCAGTACACCGGTTACCAGCTTGCGCACATGCTCGAAGAAACTACGCGAGCTCTCGATGCTCTTGAACCCGGTGATCCTAAGCTTGAGGGTGTAATTGAGTTGCTCAAGTCGACGCATGCGTCTAGTGCTGGTTTGAAGGCTTTTTGCACATGGGCCACGCTTTCTGCGATTGAAGTTTGCCGTCAGTCTCTTGGCGGTCACGGTTACTCATCCTACACAGGACTTGCGCCTCTCTATGCCGACTTTGCCGTGCACTGCACGTGGGAAGGTGACAACACGATTCTTGCCTTGCAGCTTGGTCGCGCACTTGTGTCTGCTTACGGTGAATCTCAGAATGGGAAGAAGCAGGGTCAGGCCCTGGCTTACTTAAATGACATCGACGCTTCTTTGAATGGTCGCTGCCAGTCACAGGAAGAGCTCAACACGCTCGCTGGCGTTGAGGCTGGTTGGCTTACAGCATCCGCGCACTTTGTCAAGGTGGCTTATGACGAGTTCCAGCGCTGCATCAAGGCGGGTGACTCACGTGAACGTGCTGCTGAGAAATGCTCGCAGCTTCGTTTCGTTGCCGCTAGCGTTCATACGTCGGGCTTTATTTTCCGCCAGTTCCGTGCAGCCGTCGAGAGCATGCCAGATAGGGGCGATGGTGTGAAGAAAGCACTGACAACTGTGGCTCTTTTGTACGGTCTCTGGCAAATGGAAGAGAAGTCTGGCTTCCTTCTGCGGTCGGGCTGGCTTAAGCCTGAACAATTTGACTTCGTGGCACGTCGCGTTTCAGAGCTGTGTGCGGAGGTCCGTGCATTTGCTATTCCGATGATTGACTCGTTCTCATACACGGACTTTGTCATTAATTCGCCATTTGGTCGCTTTGATGGTGACGTCTATCGTGCATACTTTGACATGATTCGCCGAAACAACCCCCCATTGAAACCACACCCTTACCGCGATTCACTTGTATTGCCGCTCCTGAATCGTGTAATTCCCGAGCAGGATGATGTGGCAGAGGCTATGAACCTCGATGAAGATATTGAGGAAATACAGAACGATATTAAAGAGGCCCTAGCTTCGCAGCAGAAGAACTAGTCAGTTCTACTAGTCAACCAGCAATGGTCTTGTTGATGTGACCTTTCCTCGGCTTATTGGGCGCGAGCATATAGTAGGATTGCATGTATACCTATAGACACATACCTCTCCTGTAAGCGGATTATGAAATGAAAAACCAATGTGAAAACTGACATGTGAAGGAGAAATATTGTTGCCCCTCAGCTAATATTGGGTCAATTATCGAATCAGAAGTGACTAGTCGGAATGTGTGGAGAAATTCTTTGTGTTTTCACGCACCCGGCGAATTCATACTTGGTCAGGATGATTATCTGCGTGTGCAGTTCCCATTTGGTGGAACCCAAGAGGTCATTGAAAGGCACATCTTCTCGGAAGTTGACATGTCGAGGCCTACAAACATGGAGCGCCTACTACTGATTCTCGATTTGAATGGAACCGTTCTGCATCGATCGAAGTCAAGTGGCAAGATTACTCCGCGACCATACTTGAGGTGCCTCTTACACTATTGCATGGGATCCAATTTTGAAAAGATGAACCAAAAACACATCAGGAAAGCTTGGAATCAACAGGACCGATATCCTGTGTTTAGGGGGGATAAACCTACCGGATCTGAGTTTTGGCTACGAGAAAACTATAATTGGTATTGGAGTCCCCCTGCCACACGTGTGCACCTTATGATTTGGTCAAGCGCGACCATCGAGAGTGTGGAAAAAATGATTGAAAAAATGACAGACTTCGCAACACAGCGTGCAATGTTCGAGCGCGTTTGGTCTAGAGGAACCCTCGTCTCAAAGTTTGATTATTTTAGAAAAGCTGGTACGACTAAGGACCTTAGTATCGTATGGGACGAATTGAATCGCTGGCTCGCATTTGAACACAAAAGAACTTCACAGAATGACTCGCCTAGTTTTATTTCCCGCGCATGGGCACAAGACCGACTAGATCGTTCAGTTCGACAGCGTAAACAATACTATGGAAAGTCTGATGATCCTTCTTTGGCCTTGCCCGTATTGTCAGGGGAGGAAAATCTTTACCGAGAGACGATTCTGCGTACCACAACAAAAAAGCTAGACTCTATCTATGGCTCACCTTTAACGGAACCGTTTGGTCCTCATAACACAGTGTTGTTGGACGACAGCATTCATAAAGCTCGGTGTCAGCCAAACAACCACCTTTGTATTCCAGAATACGACAAACAACGAGCTTCAAAGTATTCCAATTATTTGAACAGTACGTCAGATAAGGGAGCAGCAGAGGAACTCGATGACTATCTACTGCAGCTTGTGGGTGTGTTAGACTTCCTTCAAAGCGTTCCGGATGTAGAACAATGGATACAAGAAGGGGGTGCAACCACGTTTTCGATTGATCAGACGCCAAAACAACGAGCAGAATGGTGCCAACGCGGTCGCGAAACGCTAGAACGTCTAGAAATTCCTGTAGAGCCATGAGTATATATGATTAAGCTCGCGTGCATTAAAAGCCTTTCCAGCTCCAAACTTTCAGATGGCTAGTTCATTGCATCAACTGACAGAATCAGCATTGCAGAAGGTCTAGTCGGCCGACGAATGCCCTTGCGTCGTGAATGCACCTCTCCCCACGTGGCAATCACTAGATCGCCTTGGTTATCTCAGTGCGTCTCTCTCGCAGGCAAGTACGATGTCGTCGACGCCTAATGGCGCCTGCAACTCCTTGCTCGAGCGTGACTCGGGTGTCGGTGATACATTGCACGATTTCGATCGAGCCCAACGAATCTCCACGTCACAAGAACAGCTTCTTCGCACGCAACTACAGCAGCTTGGGCTTGAGGCAGGTGATGATGTGACCGCGCCTTGCAAAGACGCGAATGTAGATACGCCATCGCCTATTCATTCTTGGCCGGCAACTACATGGGGTCATGACGCACTAGATTCTTTTGGTGCTGCTCGTGTCGCAGGTCAGCCATGGCCCAGTGCTGCTCCTCCGCTTTCATTTCCTCGTCGAAATGCAGACATTAACACAACATTTAGATTTCCCTCATCAAGACCGAACTACGTGTCAGTCTCGGATGAAGTCGAGCAACAACGCCATGCAATACAGCGGCAGATGAACAGCTTCAAAGACGCCAAGAACAGTTGCAATGGCATCAACAAATGCTGCAGCCTCATTTTCCAATTTCTGCCGAAAGCTCGCAGCCACACCAATACCGCGGGCCCCTACACAATGCGGCTTTTCACGGCTCTTCATTAAGCGGCTCATGGATTCCACATTTAGATGCTGACTCAAGTCTTCGTTCCAACTTCACTTTCCCTCCTCGCCCATTGCAAGAGTCATCCATTCATGCGCATCAGTCGCCGCCGCAGCTTGCTCATCCAATTTCTGTGCCTACTTCTAAAAGAGCAGACGCTCAATCAGCTGAAAACGTGCAAGCACAGCTTGCCTCGCAACAACTTTCCTCGGAACTGTCACCCGAGTTTCTCATGGCTGGTGGTGGACTTGTCAACCTAACTACTTTAGGACTTGGCGGCGCCTGGAATGAATCGGATGATAAAGGCATTGATACTATCGCTACACCTCGTTCAGCGCAGCGCCACACTCGGTCTAGTAGCGCATCGAGTGCGATGATGCATCGTTCGAGTATGGACAACTTGCTGTCGGGTCTTCCTCAAGCTCAAGCACAGCTTGCAGCACTTCATCGGAGCAGACAGCAAATCGGACCAAACTCACACGGACGCTCCACGTCACATGGACGCTCAGCAAGTATGGGATCAAACGCAGGTGTGCCACGCCGAGCCTTGTTTGGAAGTTACTTGCCGCAAACTAGTTTGCCGCTTCTTTTGCTTACAGGGAAATTGGTTGTTGGAATTCTCCGCGTAAATAAACGGAATCGCAGCGATGCTTGGGTCTCAACGGAAGTACTGGAGCATGACATCTTCATTAGTGGCTCTAAAGATCGTAACCGCGCATTAGAGGGGGATATTGTTGCTGTGGAGCTGCTCAATCCGCAAGAGGTATGGCAAACGAAACGAGATAAGGTGGACAAGAAGAAACGCAAAGAAGAGCACAATGCGAGTGGAAATTGGTCCGTCTTAACTGCACGAGGCGCTGGACGTCGCGCAGACAAGGCGCGTGATGATATCGAAGTTGAGGGCGCACAGCTCAAATTGATTCAAGATGAAGAAGAGAGTGAGAACAAAGCGCCACTACTGGCTGGCCATGTTGTGGCTATAGTTGAACGCATGCCAGGACAAATATTTCCAGGTACTCTAGCGCTCTTACGTCCCAGCAGTGCAGCAACGAAGGAAAAGCAGCAGGCAGAACGTGGTGAAGATGATGATGTGACGCCAGGCACACCAGGCACACCGCGCCCAAAAATTGTTTGGTTCCGCCCGTCAGACAAGCGCGTGCCTTTAATTGCGATTCCTGCTGATCAAGCACCAGACGATTTTTGGATCGACGGACATCAAGAAAAGTATAGTCGTTGCCTTTTTGTGGCCTGCATCAAACGATGGCCTATCACTTCTCTACATCCATTCGGGTCGCTGGTGGATCGTTTAGGCCCAATTGGGTCTTTGGAAGCTGAGTCTCAGGCGCTTGTCCGCTCTCACTGCCATAGTATTGTGGCACCAATTTCTGAGCCGGCGCTGCGCTGTGTACCAACAGAGTCGTCTCTGATTACTGATACAGAAGCCAAATTACGGCGCTCATTTTGCGGCTTCACTGTAGTTGGCCAAGGACCTTGCGAAGTCGCACTGTCTGTGGATCCTGGCGAACAAGACACCGTGGTTGTTGGTGTGCACGTGGCTGATATAACACATTTTCTGAGCTCTGGATCGGCACTAGATCGCGAGTCTCTTCGTCGTGGTGCATCAGTACATCTTGTCCAGCATTCGTATGAGATGCTTCCTTCTAGCTTGTTGCATATCGTTGCCTTCCAAAAAGGTCGCAAGTCACTAGCCAAATCGGTCATCTTCACACTTCGAAAAAATTGCGTTGTTGATATGTGGATGGGTCGATCAATCATCCATGTATCGCATGAGACGAACTTGTTGGAACTAGAGCATGCTTTACAGGGAGGAAAGACCCCTATACCGATCACCACTGAACTTTTGGGCGCCGCTCTTGAGTTTGCTCGACAACTTCGTTCGGACCGCATCTCGCGAGGCGCTTTATGCCTGCCTCGTTCACGACTTGAGTTCGATCTCGATGAACAACAACGCCCGACGTGTGTTCGTTGCGAGTGCGACTCGAACTCGAATGCGAGCTTGCTACTAAATGAACTGTGCATTCGCACCAACACGGCAGTGGCGCATCGTCTAGCTGCAGGGTTTGAATCCAATGCTTTGTTACTACGACAGGATGCACCTCTTGAACGGGCTTTAGAGGAGCTGTCGACCAATTTAGGCGCGCTCGGCGTTCCAAAAGATCAGGTCAACATCACTACACTTCCAGCTGCCCTTGCTGCCCTTCCCTCATCTTTTCAGAGTGTCGGCGCTGCGCTAGTTGAAAACGCATTATCACCTTCGAAGTTTTTCACACCTGCTCTGGTTGATGTCACCAAGTTTGCGCATTACTCACTCGGTGAGCCTGTGTATACACATTTCACTTCGCCGCTTCAGCGATATTCAAATATTTGTGTACATCGCCAGTTGGATGCTATCTTGGATGATAAAGTAACTGGAACTCTGCGCGGTGACATTTTCACTAAGCTTGCTCATCAATGTAATGTAAAAGAACAGGCTGCTTTGGCGGCTGAAATGCAAAGCACGCACCTATATCTATGCCAATGGCTCAAAAATGAATCTAAGGAAGGAATTATGAAACGTCGCGCATTAGTCATGGCGTTGAGTGAGACGTCGGTCGATGTGCTTGTACCTTCGCTCTTGGTTGAAAAACGTGTGTACCTTGATTGTCTTCCGCTGGACGAGGCCAAATGGGACCCCTCTTCGCAATCACTCATGCTGACATGGAGTAAAGGTATTCACTCCATTGCATGGTTTGGCCACGCGATTGATGATGCACAGTGTATGAAAGTATGGGAGACAGAAAAAGAGCGACAAACAAAAGAGACATCAACTGCACCTGTTTGTCAACAGCAAAGAATTATGACCTTGACAGAGGTTGACGTATTTATTCTGTCAGATATGGACAAGAGCCCGCCCATTCTCAAAGTAGTTATTGCCAATCCATGTGCCTGAACAGAATCTTCATGCGCTACATACGTAGTTATAGGCGATTACACATTGTTCGTTTACGAGATGGTGACATGTTCTCTCTGCAGCGCCTCATTTAGCTTCATAAGCACGTCATTTGGCACTTGCTGCAACAAAGGTGCTAGTGACTCGGATCGCAGTGTCCTTGCTTCGCCTAGCTGACGAGCGAAGTAGGCCCAAAGATCTGGTCCAGCCCAAGACTCAGCACCTACTTCATCAGTAGCAGATCCCGCGGAGGCTAATTGTGAGTAAGAGGCTTGGAAACCTTGTTCATCCAAATCAGCGCCATCGTCTTCGGTGATTTCGTGTGTTGGAGGGCCCGTCTGCAATAAAAGGTGCATGACACTGATAGCCAGTGCAGGCCAAGCATTTGCATATGTTGATAACATGGAGTAGCTCTGAGTCAGAAGACGAATAATTCCAGCAGCTGTATTGAAACGCAGTTTCGCTGTCAATTTCGACAGGTCTGGAGAAATGACATTCTCAGCAATTTGACCAAAGAGTCCACTTTGCACACTGTCGAAGAGTTGGACAACGGCTTCTGGATATCCTTGTCTTTGCAGGCCGCACAGAAATCCGATAAACAAGACAAATTGTTGAGAAAACCTGTCTGTCTTGCTTGACTGCAGACGCACAAGCATGAGTGTAATTACAGGCTGCATGTAGGGAGCTAGCGGCTCGGGTGGCAAATGAATGATCATTGAACGAAGAAGATCGAAGCCATAAGCGTCATTAAGCCTGCTCGAAATAAGCTTTTGATAGATTCCCAAACACGATTCAACATGGCCTTTGTGCACAAGATGAGCAGGCGATTGCTTCAGATATGCTTTCATGAGACGAACGAGAGCAGGGACATGACTTTTCTTTTCCCACAACGCGGGCATTAAGAGTGGCGGGAGAAGCGATGCATAGGCCTCCGGCAGTTGACGCACAGAATCCAGGTTGGCATGTGCCTCCAAAAGTTGCGCAAGAATTTGGAATACGTACGGGATATACTCGGCCACATCCGCCTGGAGAATTTCTGTGCAAACTGGGAAAAGACGTTCTTCCATCATGGCCACTTGCGCCGTTGACGACGAGCCCGTGAATCTCAGTAGTGTTGATACAGACTCAAATAGGAACTGAGTGAACCGAGGATTGCTTGGATTTCGGCTTGTAACCTGAATGATTGACACAAGGTGCTCAAGCAATTGTCCCGCGTAAGGCTCCACCGACTTCTTGGCAACCAGGAGTACACGCATGACACATTTCATGACATGGTCGTTCTCAGCCACTTTTTCCGGTGTTTCATGTTGTTCTACAGCTGCAAAAAGAGCTTCCAGCATGTTTCGCGTGAATGGCTCAATATCTGTAGAATTCAGTAATCGATGACCATTGACACGGATAAAAAGTATCCGCTCGATCGAAATTGCAGCGTATGTGCACGTTACATAGTTCGTTGAACTAAGATGGTGAACAAGCAATGGCAACACAGACAAAAGCTGGTCCTTGGTCAATTGGTTGCGGAACGTGTACAGGTATTTAATGGCATCGACTTGAAGAATGGGTTGTGCTTTGGCTGTATCATTGTCAGGCTGAAGGTCTTGAAGCACATGATTGGAGAAAAACTGGACCACGTCAACGAGAGCATTGGTCGAGGACACACCATGCTGCATAGTGGAGCTCTGTGCTGCAATAGAAGTTAAAAGATATATGGCAGCATCCTTTCGTCTCCAGTTGACCATAGGATTGGCCTGGAATTCAGCCAAGTAGGCTTGGATGTGGCGCGAGCATATAGCAGTAATCTGTGTTGAAAATTGCTCCAAAAGAGCACGAACAAATTCACATGCAGCCCGTCTGCGCGTGTCTATTTCGATACTTTGCTCAAGATCGCGGCGAATATATTCCATGGGATTGTCTTCGAAAATCTCCTCGTCGATGTCACGCAGTTGAATATTCGGCAAAATAATAGCCGTGCAGAATTGCTCCAATGTTGAATCCGCTTGGAAAAGCTCGCGTTGATTCCCCATACGCACAACGGTTGAGAGGAAGCCGATTGCCTTGCTAACGATCACATCGTATTTCTCTGCCGGGCCATATGTACCCAGCATGTCCCAAACGGCTTGAACATAGTCAGGAAGCTGAGGTAATACATCCAAATAACGTTTAGCATACAATTCGAAGATTTCACAAACACTGCTTCGAATTTTGACCAACGGACTAGGAGCTACATCGTCCTCGTCGCCGATCAGTTCTGGGCGACTGTAGGAGAGTAGGCTTGTGAACATAGGTGAGAGGGTCGGTATGGCATCCTCAAATTGAGGGGGAAGATCTTGAGCAGACAAATCGTAGAATAACTGCAAAAGAAGCATCAAGCACATTGCTAGCGGTTGCATGGTGGATGACGGCGTCGACGGATCCATTAGCAATGAGTGCATACGTTGTAAAAGTTCTAGCAGTGGATTTGCCATCTTCCCAAGAACCAAATTGATTTCCATATACAGGGCGTCTGACCGGAATTGACTGCGCCAGCGCTTGAAAATTGCGTGAGAGGTTGACAGAACAGACAATAAGATATGGTGGTTATCAGTCGAAAGCTGAGAAACAAGTTCATCAATGAGACTTGGCCAGGCATCTGGAAAATCATAAGAAGCCACCAAAGCAATACTTTCGTTCAATTGCGAAAGAATGGCTTGACTGGGTGAGGGTGCGCTTGCCAGCGAGACCAACACTGGAACGAGCTGTTGACGAATCCCATATTTTTCTTCATCACTCACGGAGTTTGGTACATCCTCGTCAGCTTCATCGTCCACGACCCAGCGAAGCTTGCAGATGTTCTTAAACTGGATAGCTGCAGCGAGGCGTACAGCTGTTGATGCTGACTCCGATTGAATTAGAGTCAGCAGCAAATAAACAAAGTACGGCTGAACCTGCAGCTGAGAAATTTGTTCTTCGGCTACCTTTCGCTGTTCTGGGTTCAGCGTCTGCTGAAATAGAGAAGCAAGCGAGGCAAGCTGCTGGGTGTCCGAAGGATCCATGAAACCAGGAAAACTTCTGTCGTTATGATATTGAAACGCTAAAAACAAAACTCGTCAATTGGTGGATCCAAGGTTAGAAAAACCAACACACGCGCATCGCCACGTCATGTCACGTGTTCCATGAAACGCAGTCAACCATGGCACCCAAATGCATCTGACGCTTTCAATTGACACGGTATGACTGATACACCATCGAGAAATGCGCCATGGGTGGTGCAAAAGTATGGGGGAACGAGTATTGGTAAGTTTCTTCCTACGATCGTAGACTCTATTACACCTTCATACCTCAAAACGAATCGAGTGGTGATTGTATGTTCGGCGCGATCAGGTAAAACAAAAGCGCTGGGGACTACCAATCTGCTACTCCAGGCGAGCAGCCAAGCTATGGCAATGGCGCCGATTAATGCTTTTGATTCATCCAGGTCTTCATTGTCGTCATCTTTCAATGGTGAAAACAATGGGCCGTGGATATCGTCCCAATCTTCCGCGCATCTTTCGCGGTCCGAATCAATGCCTGCTTTCCATGCAACCGTGGATAAAATCCAAGAAGATCATTTTGAAGCTGCTAAAAGCATAGTGTTAAAAGATGACCTTCTTCGTACTGAATTGGAGCGAGGCATAACCGAGGATTGTTACCGTCTTCGGGAGTTTCTTCAGGCAGCCAGGATTCTCAACGAAGTGTCACCACGATCAAGAGATTTAATCATGGGTATCGGCGAGCGCTTAGCATGCCGTCTTGTGGTAGCTGCATTAGAAGAACGCGGCATTCGTGCTGAACTTGTTACGTTAGAAACGATTGTTGATGAGCTCGATGAAGAAGTCTTGCGGCCGGCATCTACTTCCTATGAAAGCTCGAACTACCTCGAACAGTCATTTTATGATCGTCTTTCAACCGCTTTGGCAAACCGCATCATGCAATGCGAAGGGGTTCCAGTCGTTACGGGTTATTTCGGTAATGTGCCAGGCTCACTACTGAGTCAAGTGGGCCGCGGCTACACTGACTTGTGCGCGGCACTTTGTGCTGTGGGACTTAAAGCGGATGAGCTTCAAATTTGGAAAGAAGTGGATGGAGTTTTTACAGCCGATCCACGCAAAGTTCCTACAGCCCGCCTGGTGCCTGCTATAACGCCAGAGGAGGCTGCGGAACTCACTTATTATGGTAGCGAGGTGATCCATCCTTTTACTATGGAACAGGCGATTAAGAAATCTGTTCCCATCCGCATAAAAAATGTTGAGAATCCAACAGGTTGCGGTACTGTGATTTTCCCCGACCATATTTCACCATCTGTCGACGACGATATCAAACACGATCCCTTCGTGGATGGGCACGTGGAGCAACCAGAGCCACCACTCAACGGTCTTTCGACCCCTATGCACAGTCGCCAGCAGCAAAAAGAGCCTCGGAAGACACCCACGGCTGTCACTATCAAAGACAATATTATCGTTCTTAATGTTCACAGCAACCGCAAAACTATCAGCCACGGATTCTTTGCAGGAATTTTTGGCACGCTTAACCGCTATGGTGTTGTGGTAGATTTGATCTCCACTTCCGAAGTGCACGTCTCGATGGCGATGACTGCTGACATCAAAGCCCGAACCCTCGAGCGCTTGAGTGCAGAGCTTGAACACATTGGGACTGTCAGTATTTTGCGAAACATGGTAATTTTGAGTCTGGTCGGAAAAGAGATGCGTCAAATGGTTGGTGTTGCAGGGCGTATGTTTAGTACACTCGCAGAAGGAAACGTGAACATTGAAATGATTAGCCAGGGTGCTAATGAAATCAACATATCGTGTGTAATTCACGAAGGATCAGCATTAAAAGTACGTATATCTAATAACTCACTGCCCCTTACACACAAAGGCGTTGAACCTCATTCACTATTCCATACTTGAAGTATCTCCCAAGCCATGCAACATGGAAGGGGGGACGTTTGGGCGGTCATTTTTCTAGATATCTGCAGTCGGAGGAATACGGATGAGTAGTTTGCCTGTTGTAGAGCGGCTGGCCAATTCATCCTGTGCTTCCTTCACGCCATCGGCACTCAATAGGTACTCACGCCAAACCCCGGGGTAGACTTTGTCTGATACTAAAAGATCAATGAGAATTTTGCTGTAATAGTTCAACTCTTCTTGCGTCGAAACATATCCAAATAGGGAGGGGCGCAAAAGTTTAAGATTCTTTGGACTTAAACGATGTAATTCAATAGGGTCTGGCAAGCCACTGGACTGGCCAAAACTTACCAGTGTGCCGAGACGTGCAACGAGATCAAAGTCTTTTTCGAACGTGGCTTTCCCGACAGAGTCGTAAATTACCTGTACACCTTTCCCATTTGTTATACCATTCACACAAGAAACGAGATCATCATCGTATAGGAAAACATGCTCAGCACCCATTGTTTTAACACGCTCCGCTTTCTTGGTTGTCGAAGTGGTACCGATTACATGTGCTCCCAGAGATGAAGCAATTTGGACTAAAAGGAGGCCAACACCACCAGCTGCTGCATGAACCAAGACGTAGTCCCCACTCTTCACAGGATAAGATGTGTGGGTAAGCGCCACAGCTGTGAGACCCTGAAGCCACGCTGCTACCGCGGTCCGTGTGTCAAGTTCCTTAGGTAGTTTAACAACTTTAGAGCGAGGTGCAATGACACGTTCGGCGAAAGAAGAGCCAACGAGTGCTACGACACGATCTCCCGGTTGAATGTTTTTAACATTGATGCCAACACGAGCGACCTTGCCGCCGCACTCCTGACCAAGGGTGAATGGAAGTTCAACAGGGTAGAGCCCTGTGCGAAAGTAAGTATCGATAAAATTTACACCGGCGATTTCTGGTTTGATTAGCACATCGTCCGTGCCCAGGCTCGGGACAGGAACATTGTCACACTGAATGACATCGACACCGCCGGTTTGATGGATTCGAATGGCCTTCATATCGTGGAAATACCATGCATAATCTCAACGTTGGGCCAAGTTTGATACCGGCTACTTACGTAATGTTAGAGGGTTGTCTGCTAACTATGTATAAACTGCCTTTGAACCAATTACTTCTTCACGGCATTGATGATCTTACCGAGGAGTCCACCTGGACGATCGCCTGGTGTTTCACCGGTTGCACAACAGCAGCAGTCAGCTGAAGGACTGAAATCCTGTGCATTCAGGCACATGACGCGAGCCTTGCGGTTTTCCCAGCCATCGTCCACGTTAAACGTGCAGTGGAACATGCACAAAATGCGGCCATCGTTCGTTGGCACAAACGATGCATGACCTGGGCCATATGGACCACCTTTGCTACGGTCACTTGAGAGCAAAGGTGAGTTACGTTTAGTCCATGATTTAGGATCCAATGGATTACTGCCAGTAAGGTTAAGAAGACCAAGTTTGTAGTCACATGTCCAGCTACCGTGAGCACTGTACACGATTCCCCGGATACCCTGAAAGTCGACGAAAGATGGCCCCTCATTGATGCCACGCTTACCTCCATCCGGACGCTCCCACTTTTCTGTTGGCTTAGAAATAGTCACAAGGGTTTCTGGGATAGCTTGTTCAGGGGTAACGAGCTGGACAAGAAACAGGTCCTGTTCGGTATCAGAGTTATCTGCCAAGGGCCAACCGGAATAACAGCAATAAAGGTTTTGACCAAGAGAAAATACGGTGGCATCAATAGCCCAATGGTCGGGTACACCTTGCAACGGACCAATAAACTGCCAGCCTTGTGGATCCATAGGATCTTGCGACTGAGAGCGAAGTATCAACGTGCGGTGTGACGCTGGACCTTCTCCAGGTTTTTCACCACTGAAGTAAATGTACCAAATACCGTTAATATTGTGCAGCTCAGGCGCCCAGATACCTGGGGCCCAACCGGAGCCTTGGGGGCGCCACACTAAGCTTTTTTGCGGATTGTTAAAGTCTTCAATGTTGTTCGAAGCCCAGATTTCAATTCGATCCCCTAGTGTGAAAGTGAGATAATACAATCCATTCCATGCATAGACCCAAGGGTCTGGCATGTCAACATTGGCGATGGGACGACAAGACATGATAGTAGGCGGATATAACGTTGTCAAAGCTGCGCTCGAGCCATGTGTCAAGGGCCGGGACCGGCGAGCTAGGTTATACGTGCTTATGTCATCATTTTGTGTATGGATTGATAAAGGTGATGCTGAGTGGCATGCTTTCAAGCAGCTTGCGTGTGGAGATTATAAGGGACTGGTCGACAAACAGTCCCAGAATCCTAAATATAGAAATCTTAGTATTTGTTCACGCGCATGGTGATATGGAACAAGATCGAGAATGATAGTCTTGGGACGAGAGAAGTCTTACTAATTCAAATTGCGTTCACACTTCCTCTATTATAGTGGTCTGATCTGTAAAAGTGTCTGTTCGCGATAAGTATAGGGCTTCCGACCTAGTATCGCGAAGAAAATCACAACTGATGGATACGAGATGGTAGGAGATATGTATGAAAAAGATTATTGAAAAATGAATACGACAAAAATGCATCCTTAATTAGTTTAGATATTGATCAAGAACGCCATACTTTATGATACAAACGATAAAGCGCTATAGAAAGTCGAGTTTTACGCCGTTGCTGATTCTTGTAAGACATGCGATACAAACAATAGCGCCCAGTACAATCCACTTTCTGAGCTTGTGAGCGCGCTCATGTGGGAAAGCGTAAGAGATACATTCGGTATGGAAATTTGGAAACGAACATGCAATTCATGTCGCTGAATTGATCCAATACATATACTTACTATATTGCTAAGTAGCTTTCAAAATTAAATTTTCAAATACAAAGGTTCATTTGTTAAAAAATTTCAGCTCGAGGAGCCGAAGCGGCAAATAAGCCAACAGTGTAAAAGTGAACGTGAACTCGTTAGCAAGATCGCCACCGGTCTCACCAAAAAGACCTGCTAGTGGCCCAACATACCACGTTTCAGCCATACCCATAACCCAGCAAACTACACCCACCAAAAACACAACGGCAGCAGCGATCCCGTGCGGCAAGCGTTCCTTGTCATTCCAACCATCTAAGTCGTAATTGTCGAATGATCCCTTGCGGATGACAGAGTGCTCCATCAAGATGATCAAAATGTAGCTAGTGCACCAATATCCAAGCAAGCTCAGAAAGTTTTGTAGGTATGAATTCAGCTCCTCTCGACCAGCGAGTCCGAGAGCAATAACGATTCCAAAAAGAACCACTTGCCAAATTATTCGAGGTACATAAGCAAGCCACGGTGAGATCTGTTGAAAACTTATAGCAGCACTGTACGTATTAAGCAAATTGATGGCAATGCCCGAAAGAACAAGAATTACAAGAAGGAATTTCGCAAACCCCATTGGATACAGTATGTCCCGGATAAGGTATCCGATTCCGCCTTGTTCATATGATTGCTTCCAATCGGGGTGGTTGTCAAGAGCACTCGCCATCACAGCGCCTGACCACATCCCGATACTTGTAGGGATGCAAAGGCCACATGTAGTCAATAGAAACACCTTGTATTTGTTGACATTGACCGGATACTGAACATAATAATCAGAAGCAATGGTTGCCCAAGATGCGCTAGAACCGTACACTACGGCAAGAAACGTAAGCGCAGCACCAGCCAATGGAGTTGTTCCTGTGGCTTTGGCAGGTGAATGATTGTCCGCATATTTGCCCGTCTCGCCAAAGATGATTAAGAATATAACGAAGAAGACGAACCAAGCGTAACGTTCGACAATCATGATCAAACGAAGCCCAAAAAGACCGATGATGAGAGCAGCCGCTGCTATAATGATTATTCCGACAACAATAGAAATATGTCCATCGGCTACAGCAGTGAGAGCAAGGCCACCTGTGATAGCACCAACAGCTGACCAGCCAATTTGTTGAACAGTGTTGAGTAAGGCAAGAATTTTGTTCGGATACCAACCAAAACTGTAGCGAGATACAGACATCTGGCGGAGACCAGTAGGAGCCCCGAATGTCGCACAGTATGCAGTGCCCATACTTCCTAATAAAGAACCAAAGAAAATGATCAAAAGCGATTGTTTTAGATCTAGACCGAATTCCCAGCCAAGCATGCCCGTGGCACAACATGCTAGATTCATGGTGCCTGAGGCCCATAGAAACGCCATATTCAACTCTTCGTACCATTTTATGGGTTTTCTGTCTTCGGGTCGCTTTCGCTCAATAGCTTCAGATTCAACTCCAACTTTTTTGTCAAGCCATGCCTCGATGCGTAAAAGACCAGCGAAAAGCCCTCGATGGTATGTTCCATTTTCCATCACCGATGAACAGTAAACTTCTTCCTCTTTGGTTACGAATGGATCATTTGATATTTCGCGTTCGACATCAATCTCTGGAACACGTTTCATGCTTTGATCGTCACTAAGAAGACCCATGAGATAGGGGCGCTATATCATTTTATAGATTAGTTTGTAGTTAGCAAAAAAAGCTTTGATTCAACCCGCAAAGTTAATTGCGTGATCAAAGCAGATAATTTGTCGTGCATGCAGCACGCAGAAATCGTACCGATTATAGTTCTAGCGATGAGCTTATAATCATAGGAACATGCTTATTATTGGGCTGTTATTAAGCTCATACATTTCAATAGACTGAGTCAAATACTTTAATAAGAGAAATTAAAAATAGCCTATGTTATCTCTTTGCCTAGGATGACAGGCCTTAAGCTTGCGCCTGAGGAGCGAAGACCAATTTGAATGCGACAATAAATAGTTAGCTATATTGTAAACTTTAAATATCCATATGAAAGCTTCGATTAACGGAAATTTTATTGCAATCATTCCTTGAAGAACTGGGCATGATTGTAGCAAGAGTGATTATTACTACAAAGCTTGGAAATATTATCGTGAATACAATTGCACGCTTTAAGTCTGACCACTAGTGGCCATTGTACTTTAAATTTCAGCAAATTAAGTTCCTATGCTGAAAGGCTGTCTCGATGCACTAATTCCCAAGTACTTCTTTTGTGACGAGTTTGAGTTACGTACACGTAGTGATTAAAACGTTAAAACTTTGATCAAGTGCTACGATTGAGATGCGCAATTTCTAATGAAACAGCATCGCCCTCAGTTCAAAAGTACTGCATTCAAGAACACAAATTGATGTGGTATCATTTCGTCATGACCCGTTTCTGGTAAGATCAGTGTCTCTTCCACGGTTGCTCGGATCATATTGTGAGTTCTTTATAGTAGTAACAGCATCAATCCCAAAAGGCACCTAGCGCAGATTTTATCCGATGAATTCCATATTGGACGTAGCAAACCATCGACGTCTTTGTTTATTATTTATATGCAAGAGTGACAACTGCATTGGCGAATTGAACTCATATTGGTATTTTACAATGTCTAGCAGGTTTAATGAAACGCCACAAATTTATTACTCACGCCATTTTGAAGATAATCAACACACTGAGTAAATACTCTTTGGCTCCATTTATAAGGTATCATAACTTTCATGGCACCCACATTAAGCTTGTCGAATGCCAAATTTTTAGATTGTCCGATGAAACCCATTGAGATCTGACCCGGATTATCCTGGCAACGTTGGTACATAAAACAATATAGTAAGCAGAAAAGAAAAGATTTTTATCAGTTTCATATAAACCTGCTAGGCAATAGATTTGCCTTCAGTAGCTTTGCGGGTACTTGCCAAAAGCTATGAAAAGGTCGTCTGTATCAAAATTAGAATTTTGCTCGTGTCCTGCCTCGCGCAATTCCTTCGTGTTTTTATAGTTTTTTGCACTCGAGTCCCAGAGCATTTTCTATGCGAGCATCGACATCCTACTACAGGAGTAGAATGTTTTCGAGGAATTGGACAATAGACTGCAAATGCTAGGCCAGCCCATATCGGTGCGCAAATAGAAAAAAGATCGGCGGAAGTTTTAAGAGACGGCAAGGGCAAGAAAATTGATTTTGTCGCGTAAAACGAAACTCGATTTTGGCCGCTATAAGATGAAGAAAGAAAATTGAACTTCGTAGATTGATGTCACGTCCGCATGTGCGTGACTTTATCTCAAAGCCCATTAAACGCACCCCAAGTTATTGGAATGAAACCGGGAATGTATATTGTCAACTTAAAACAGCATTAAGACATTTTCGTTAAACTCGAGTCAATCTTTCATTTCATCCATAATCTGCCAGGCTGTGCTTTCATAGACTGCCGAGTGTCCAGGAAAGAAAACACAAGAAGCCCATTGCATAATAAATTTGGAAAGTGTTTCTGATGCTGGCACATTGACCTCAACAATGGTGATCGTTAGTGGGGTACTTTCTTGAATCAACTCGAGCTCATGATAATGACAGCTTCTTCTAGCGTTCGCTATGTAATGGTGCAATTCGACCGACTCCCAGAAGTACATATCTTTATAAAAATGATAAAAGTTTCACATGGTACTGGCCCGGTTTATCGTGTAATCGAGAATAAGAACGAAATAAATTAATCAAATTTCAGGCAGAGATTATGACACATGGAAACACCACGCAGCCGTTATATTGGCCGTTCTCCTTTTCGATTCAGGCATTAACTACCTAAGCCTAAGAAATTATTCGAAAACATGATCCGTTTAAGTGTCAAATGAAAGAACTTTAAGACAATAATTGTACATTGCGATGAGCGATTAACGATTCAAACCATTCAAGATCAAATCGGAAGGAAATACATTCAGCACAAAGCTGACGCTCAAGTAAGTGTTTCATCGTAATAAGAAGCGGCTAATGTTTGACTGATCAATATTTTTTTTCTTACATCATTTACTTCCTGCACATCATAATATGACTTACAAGTGTATTCGCTTCGAGGCAGCTTGTTCAGCATAACTGGGTGGCGCTCTGAGCGTTAAAACTTCAAAGTGACATTACTAAGTTTGAGATGCAAAAGAAGGCCAATCAGGCCTAGAACCTTTCATGTCGAAATTGTGTCGGCACAATTTTAACGATAGCTGTATCATATTCGTTCCTGGTGCAGAAGTGAAAATATTATGACTTCCGGCCACATTAAAAGTTATAAGTTGTAACGTAAAGCAAAACATCGTAAGTCCGATACGACTTGATCCACTCACACATGAATATGGCCAATGGTCTACGTGCAATTGTGCCAAGACTGCATGAGACTCTCAAGTTGACAAGGTCTGTTCGAAAAAGAAGAATAGAGGACTGCTAGCGCCCTGGGAAGAATGTCTCATGCAATCAAGTGAATATACATAATAAGCGGCAAACGGACGGGTTGGGATAACCAAGGATTCACGCTATATATGGAATGATTCTTATGAGCCTGATGTTGACACCCGATTCAAGAAAGAGCTCTCGAGGCAAGTAAGCGCTAAGGTGTATTAATGATCGGTAAGTCACAGGATGGATGCATTCTTGGCAATTCATTCTTAAGGTCGAAGAAGACACCAATACTGTCTCGGAGATTTTGCTGGTTTCGTGAATTTTGCAAATTATCTAAGACACCGCATTGAAAGGTGATGACGTTTTCACGTGTTACGGACGACGACATGGAACATGATGAATGGGTGTTGAGAATAGAGGACCTAACGGTTGCAGTCTTGAAGGCGATAGAGAATGGAAAACGATAAAACTTCAAATATTCAAAGAGCAATAAGTGTTAAGAAAGATTTGTGATGAAACAACGATGCTACAAGGGGACGTGGAACGAAGGGGATTCAGCAGACACACAAATCTGGCCGTATGATGGTAAATATTGCGTGAAAAGCTAGTGCAACGCAAAAAATTTGATGAAATTATTCAGGCACTAGGAGGAACAAAACGAATCAAGAGTGTGGGGCAAGTGGAGAAGAGTGGGAGTACAAAAGACTGGGTGGCAATGAACGAGAACGCCAGACGGGAGACGTGTGAAGAAATGGTAGTAGAATTTTACTTGGAGCAGAGGGCCGTAAGCTCAGAGTCATGGTGGCGAGAAAACAGAACTTGTCTGCCGAAAAGCCAACACGGTTCGGTCGAGTCATGGGCATGTAAAGGTGACCACACGGTGGCATGCATGTAAATGAAATTGCCAGAAAAGACTCATTCACGTGCATGAGCCATTTTCGCCAACGTTTGACCAGTGGCCCGTTCCAAAGTTTAACCCGCGTAGCATGCGTGCACATCACTCTTGTTCTAAACAGTCACATAGCGTGAGTCATACTATGACTCGATGCACGAATGAGTGGATACGCAAGGTATAAAAAGGCGCCTCCCCGAGGAATCACGGCTCCTCATGCTGCTAGCTGAGGCATTAGCCGAGCGAGCCAAGGCACAGCGCCGATATGAGCAGCTGATGCAGCGGCTCCTGCGAGTCGTGCGAGTACAAGAGGGCAACCAACCAGTAGAGGAACCAAACGAGCTCCTCGTCTCCGCCAATGGCATTCTAGATCGAATGGACTGGCTCATCTGATGCGTCAACAAGACCAACACACAAACCATGTTTGACGACAAGCACACACAGATGCGACTGCATTCCGAGACATGGCACTCAAGCGGCGAAAGCTGTATTCCGACGTGGCAACAAAGGCGAGCACAGCGCAAGATCGATACACACGCAGTGAGATTAAGTATGTGAGTGTGATTCATGTGCGGAAGATGCAAAAGCAGGTGGACAAGCTCGCAGGCGAGTACCGGACATTGGACACGCGAATCCAAAAGATGAACTGGGAGGTGGAGTTGATCGAGGAGTAAGCATCGAACAGAGAGGCCGGAGATAATTGAGTGGTCTGTTAGCGTGCACACACTGGGGCACTCATCAGAGTGTCCCAGTGCAAGATGCCTGATAGTCCCCTGGGGCAAAGACGTGCATCGCCCTTAGCACAGAGCAGCCCCGACAGAGCACAATCGTACAGGGAACAGAGTATGGAGTACTACCGCGTGCAGGAGCAGCCACTCGATGAGGGAGGGCCAGGGGCAAGGCCTCTCTGCTGTCTTGCTCCTATTCGAATGTAGAATGCATTTGTATTATAGGATTCAATTTACGGTATGGGCTGAAACAGGCAGGTGTGGCTGAATAAGAGCAGAATTGCTGGCCCTTGAGGATGCACTACTCGAAGAGCATAGCATCAACCTAGACATTAAGAGTTAAAAAATACGACAGGACCAGGCAAAGCATATGCGGGGAGAGAAATACCAGAACAAGGCAGGAATGACGGGTGTACGAGTAAAAGATGCACATGAAGGACGAGAGAGACACAAGAGAAGTACGGTAGGCTGAACAGCAAGAAAATTCAAAAAGAAAGAGCGGTTGACTTGAGTTGTAAAATAACAAAATTGAGGGAGTAGGATACGAAAACACGAGACAGATAAATAGAGTAGATGAAGAGCTGAATCACGCGAAACATGGGAGCAGACAGAGACAAAAAAGT